AATATAAACAATTATAAGAGAATATTATGAAAAACTATACACCCACAAATTGGACAACCTGGAAGAAACAGATAAATTCCTAGAAAAATATAAACTTCCAAAACTGAAGAGAGAAAAATAGAAAACTTGAACAGTCCAATAACCAGCAAAGAAACTGAGTCAGGGCCAAAAAATCAAAAATCTCCCAATAAGCAAAAGTCCAGGGCCAGACGGCTTTCCAGCGGAATTCTATCAAACACTTAAAAAATAGTTAATATCTATTCTTCTCAAACCACTCCAAGAACTAGAAATGGAAGGAAAACTTCCAAATTCATTCTATGAGGCTAGCACTACACTGATTCCAATACCAGACTAAGACTCCACAAATAAAGTAAACTTTAGAATAAAGAAAACTATAGGCCAATATCCCTCATGAACATAGATTAAAAAAAATTCTCAACAAAATACTAGCAAATCGACAGTACATTAAAAGAATCATTCACTACGATCAAGTGGAATTTATTCCTGTGCTCCAAGGGCAGTTCAATATTTGCTAATCAATCAACATGATACACCACATTAATAAAAGGGTAAGAATCCTTTCAATAGATGCAGAAAAGGCATTTGACAAAGTACAACATGATAAAAACCCTCAACAAAATAGGATAGAGGGAACATACTTCAACATAATAAAGGCCATATACGAAAAACCCACAGCTAATATCTTCCTTAATGGGGAAAAACAGAGCTTTTCTTCTATGGTCAGGGACAAGACAGGGATGTCCACTCTCACCACTGCTACTCAACATAGTACTGGAAGTCCTAGTTTCAGCAAACAGCAAAAAGAAACAAAAGCCATCCAAATCAGCAAGGAGGAAGTCAAACTTTCACTATTTGCAGATGACATGATACTATATATATATATATATATATATATATATATATATATAGAAAACCCAAAAGATTCCACCAAAAAATTGCTAGAAATGATACACGAATAGAAAATCAACAAAAAGAAATCTGTTGCATTTCTATACACCAATAATGAAGCAGCAGAAAGAGAAATCAAGGAATTGATCCCATTTACAATATCACCAAAAACCATAAGATACCTAGGAATAAACATAAACAAAGAGGTAAAAGATCTGTACTCTGAAAACTATGTAACATTTATGAAAGCAATTGAAGATGACACAAAGAAATGGAATAACATTCCATGCTCATGGATTGGAAGAACAAATATTGTTAAAATATCTTTATTATCCAAAGCAACCTACACATTTAATGCAATCCCTATCAAAATACCAACAGCATTTTTCAGAGTTACAACAAAGAACCCTCAAATTTGTATGGAACCACAAAAGACCCCAAATAGCCAAAGCAATCTTGTAAAAGAAAAGCAAGCTGGAGCATTACAACTGCAGTATTCAAGTTATATTACAAAGCTATAGTGATCAAGACAACATGAAAATGGCACAAAAACAGACACATAAATCAATAGAACATAATAGAAAACCCAGAAATGAACCCACAACTATGTGGTCAAGTAATCTTCAACAAAGCAGGAAAGAATACCCAATGGAAAAAAGACAGTATCTTTAACAAATGGTACTGGGGAAACTGGATAGCAGTATGCAAAAGAATGAAGCTGGACCACTTTCTTAAAACATAAAGAAAAATAAATTCAAAATGGATTAAAGACCTAACTGTGAGACAGGAAACCATTAAAATCCTAGAGGAGAAGAGAGGCAGTAACCTTGACACTGGCTGTAGATATGTCTCCTGAGGCAAGGGAAACAAAAGCAAAAATAAACTACTGAGACTTCCTCAAAATTAAAAGCTTCTGCACGGCGAAGGAGACAGTCAATAAAACTAAAAGGCAACCTTTGGAGTGCGAGAAGATATTTGCAAATTACTTATGTGAGGAAGGATTAGTATTCAAAATGTTTAAAGAACTTATCAAACTCAACACCCCAAAAAACAAATAATCCTGTTAAAAAATGGGCAGAAGGCACAAACAGACATTTTTCCAAAGAAGACACACAGATGGCCAAGAGACATAAAAAGATACTCAACATCACTCATCACCAGGGAAATACAAATCAAAGCTACAATGAGATATTACCTCACACCTGTCAGAATGACTAAAATTAACAATACAGGAAACAAGAGCTGTTGGTGAGGATGTAGAGAAAGGGGGACCCTCTTACACGGTTGGTGGGAATGCAAACTGGTGCAGCCACCCTGCAAAACAGTATGGAGGTTCCTCACCAAGTTAAAAATAGAACTACCCTAAGACACAGCAATTACATTACTATGTATTTACCCAAAGGAAAGAAAAATACTGATTCAAAGGGATACATGCACCCGATGTTTATAGCAGCATTATCAACAACAGCCAATTTATGGAAAGAGTCCAAATGTCCATCAGTTGATGAATGGATAAAGATGTGGTGTACAGGGGCATCTGGGTGGCTCAGTCATTAAGCGTCTGCCTTCGGCTCAGGTCATGATCCCAGGGTCCTGGGATCGAGCCCTGTATCAGGCTCCCTGCTCCGTGGGAGGTCTGCTTCTCCCTCTCCCACTCCCCCTGCTTGTGTTCCCTCTCCCGCTGTGTCTCTCTCTGTCAAATAAATAAAAAATCCTAAAAAAAAAATGTGGTGTATATATATATACAATGGAATATTAGCCATCAAAAAGAATGAAATCTTGCCATTGGCAATGACATGGATGGAGCTACAGACTATTACGATAAGCGAAATAAGTCAGTCAGATAAAGACAAACACCGTATGATTTCATTCATATGTGGAATTTAGGAAACAAGACAAATGAATATAGGCGGGAATAAAAGAGACAAACCAAGAAACAGACCAACTATAGAGAACAAACTGATGGTTATTAGAGGGGAGGTGGGATGGGTTAAACAGGTGATGGCTATAACGAGGGCACTTGTGATTAGCATCGGGTACTGTATGTGATGAATCACTAAATCCTACACCTGAAATTAATACTGCACTTTATGTTAACTAGATGGAATTTAAATAAAAACTTGGGGGACAAAAACACATTTATAGCTTAAAGAAAATAACAAAAAAACAAAAAAATAAGATTCATATTTGACTCCAATAGATCTGGAAGAATCATCTTCATAAGGGCCTAGAATGAATTAAGATCTAAAGCTCCCACTCTATCTTAGAATACTGGCTAGATCCTGAACTTTACATTACAGATCAGTGTTTCTTAGTGTCATCTATGGAGCACCTACATTAGATTCATTTGGGGTGTTCCTCAAAACTGCGAGTTCCCTGACTCCATTCTAACCATATTATCCAATTTCGCTCTCTGAGGGTGAGGCATAGAAATCTCCCTTCAAACAAAAACAAGAACAGAACAAGTTTACCTGGTGATTCTTAGGCACATTAAAATTTGAAAACTATCATTGTTTGGTCTTTAGACCCTTGGCCCCCAGCTATTTGTTGCAAGGAGGAATTCCTCTCTTCAGAGTTTATAATAAAAACTACATCAAAGTTAAGGTAAATGTAACCTTCAGTTGAACAAATGTTATTACTATACTTAATGTAGCCATTTTCTAAAAAAAGAAACATGAGCCATGTAAATTCTTGTCACTAAGAGTAACAAGTAGAACTGGAATTGGGCCCAAAAAAGGTAAAAGGATGTAAGTAAATAAACACCAAGTAAAAATAAACAATTCACTATCTGGCTTTCCATCATGGGAACACATTCGTGCTTCAAAATGACTATATAAGGAAAAATGACTCTAAGAGGCTTAAAAACAACAATTCCTTCATGAACCTCCACAGAGTTATTCATGACCCAGTATATGAATATCCTGGGCCTTCAAAGATTTTTCACTATACATTATCATTTTTCATTTATGTGGTACCTTTGCATTAAGGTGCTAAAAGTACTTTACATACAAGCCTTTAAACTGTGTGTTTCTATTATCTTATACTAGAGAATTACTTTCTAAGTCAAATTCACTGCCTAAACATTACATGTTCTAGACTTGAATTTTTTTCCACCATATCTCAAAATACCAGCTCTTGGTGTTATAATTAGTCTGTAAGAAATTATGCCGCTTAGACTATATAAAATTACTGTAAAATCAAACAGCTTAAATTTTCTATTTTTAAGCTTCCAGTTCATGATATTAAAGTATTTTATGGTCTGAACAATACCATTTCTTTATATACCCCTAAAAATAGTCATATTAGAGATGTAGGTTAGATGCTTAACAACATGTAACTAGAAAGAAAAATACATAGTAATTTAAACAGCTCCTAAAACTTAATCCAGTTTTAATTTAAATACAGAAATCAAAGACTACTACTTAGTGTAATTCAGACAAGGGTGTATCTTAGTAACTAAATAATAAATCCTAGAAAAATATAATTGAAGTATAAAAACATAGACATAAATAGTGCTTGGCATTTTCTAAAAGCAGGTACATTTTTATTCCAAACCTAAACCAGTCTGCAGGCCTAGTATGATTGTATAAGAATTTATCCTCAGATAACAGGGTAGCATAGTTTATGACAACAATCTACCTAAAAAGTCATTAAAGTGTTTTTTCTCTTGGGAGTGACATGCATTATCAGCAGAGATTAATCTGATGAGTCTTTAGGTGAGTTCCATTTTTTTTAAAAATGCAATAATAGAGGGCTTTGTTGTCATCTGATAAAAATCAATTAGAGGAGGTAAGGCCACAAGGAAAACTAACATCACTCACTACCCACCCCCGGCAGCTGAAATGATTTGTCTTCCAAGCCTGGATGATCAGGAGCTATAGTTATATTGCAGGGAAATTAATTTAGTTTCTATATTCTGAACTCACTTTCTTTGTTCTGGAGGATCTAAATACAAATTACTTTTAATCAAGGTTGGTATGATATTAATACCAAGGAGGATCTTCGAAGAATTATTTTTTTTAAATTGACTTTAGCATCTTTCACCTGTGCTTGGGGTGCAACTATAGGAACGTAACTTATATCATCCTTACTTTCTGGATTCTTTGTCCACAACAAGGCACTGTACTGAATGGCGAAGACAATAGATTCCACCAAACACTGCACACATCCTAGGAAGAGAATAGAAAGCGTGAATTAGGATTCTTGAGTTGAAAATTAAGGTAGCATTATCTTCTTTGAAATGTCTTCCATTTAATAAGTGATCTTACAGAAAAAGAATTTTGACAACTTATTATTTTCTCTGTCATGGTATTAAGAATCCCTCAGAAGTAAGATAGATTAGTAATATTTTGATGCAGCAAGAGGTACCAGTATTAATAATACAATGTGCAAGCCTAGAATTATGATCAAGCCAAAAGTATCCCCAAAGCTCAGTTATTCCCCCAAACCACCTACTAACTACAAATAGCCTCAAGAGGTTATGTATGAGAACAGAAATGACCCCACAGGGGAGCCTGGGTGGCTTAGTTGGTTAAGCATCTGACTCTTGATTTTGGCTCACATCATGATCTCATGGTTGGGGACTGAACGGAGTCAGGCTCTGTGCTCAGCAGGGAGTATGCTTAAGATTCTCTCTCCTCTCCCTCTGCCCCTCCCCCCACTCATGCGCACTCACTCGTGTCTCTCTCTCTAAAATTCAAAAAAAAAAAAAAAAAGTGGCCACAGAGAAGTCTTAAGGAGGAAACAAAGCAGGAAAGACTGGTAGACCCCTGGAGATTTTGCTTACCTTAAAAGTAAACAAAAACTACACTGGGAACTGAAAAGTAGAGCAGTAAGCACATGAGTTAATGCTGCAGAAGTTCTAAGGAGTTTGCCTATCTCATGAAACTAAGGGCTTGGGTTTTAATGCTTACGTAGGGACAGGAGAGGCTTCAGGATCCAAGTAAGGCAGGGAGTAGAAAATGAGATATTCTCTCATAATGTCTGGATCATTAAAGGACTACACTTCAGTGAAAACCCACTTAACCACAAAAGGGAGAAAAGAAAAATTGTTTTATCCAAAGCCCTGGGTGGAGAAGATTATACCTCTGTATTTATAACCAGTGGTCTGTCCTCACACAGGTCGGGGGTTTGCAATTATACTACATGATCCAAGAAACCCTTAACCAATAAAACACCATGAAAGAAAAGTGGCTCTGGGTCAGTAGTACCTCTGGAGACTTGGTGGAAGCAACTGCTAAAACTTTGTGGAGCGATATGAAGCCACATGAAAGAGCCACAGACAGAATCCCCTTATATGTTTATAATCTAAAATTATACATGAAGAAAAATACCTTAGCCTGAGTGAGGATTATCAGACACAACAAATGGGGTGGGGTAGCTGAAGTATGGACAGTCTTGTGGGGACTGCATCCTCTAACTGCACAGTTGGCTTAACCTCTCACATTGTACAATGGAATACTATAAGCAATTTAAATGAATGAACTACATTCCCATCTATCAACATGGATAAATGGCAAAAACATAAAAATTGAGAGATAATAGCTAATTAGGGAAGAATATATTGTGATGTCATTTATGAAAAGTTTCAAAACTTCATATGCAAATATGTAGTAAAAGTGCAGAAACATTTAAGGGAATTATAAACACCAAATTCAGGATAGTAGTTATCTCTGGGAAGAGAGGGAGTAAAAGTTACAATGGAAGTTTCAGTTGTTCAGTTTCTTAAAAAAATATATTGAGAGCAAATATGGCAAAATGTTAAGATTTGACAAAACTGTGAATGGCTACATGGTGACCTTTATATTATTCTATGTACTTCTTGGAGCATTCTTGAAATATTTCATAACCAGATTATAATGAAAAATATAAATAGAGATAAGTGACATTCACCAAGTATGGCATAATACTATTATCTTTCTAAGTTTAATTCATTTTACTGAACATGACTAAGCTAGTTAGGATAGGTGAGGTTAGGTAATAATTCATTCTGGTATAGGATGACATAGATCAGGGTTTTTCTTCCACTGAGAAATTTAGAATATAAGAAATGGCACATCAGAGCATGCAAGCAAAATTTCATGTGCTTAAAAACCCTTAGACTGCAAGTTTTACCCAGGGCACCTGCTACAAGATATTCTCCCTTCTTGCTAATCTTGTTCACTAGTCACATACCAAGTTACAGAATATTTATTGTCTGGTATACCTGGTACTATTTGAGACACTGCACTCGACAGATCCCACAGAGGGTTAGAAAAAAATCATCCATTAGACTGTTTAGATACATTTCCTAGGTGGTATTCTAACCCCTGTTGTTGGTAGGGGAGTACCAATTTAGTGAAATTGATGTGACTGAGATAATCAGTCCAACCTTCACCATCAATTTCCTGTTAATACTGAAAGAGGCCACAGTCACATGAAATATTACTGGCCCACTAAAAATAAATAGGTTAAATTAGGTTAAGCCCCAAAATGGATAATCAAGTTAAAAATGTGAATCACACAATCAGCATTCTCATTTGCCTGGGGATCTCTGTTACCTGAGTAGCAGCATCAGTGTTTCCAACTTCCTTGTAAGCAGCTATAGATGAGCGATAACCAACTGACTGACCTACAGAATTTCTCATTTCAGTCATACTGGTCTATGTTTTTACACACACACACACACACACACACACACACACACACACACACACACAC